TATTTGGAAGCTCTGTATCTCGCAGAGAATAATTTCAAATTTTTATCCATTTTAAAACGTCTAGATTATTTAGATATATTTGCAGACTGCAGTACATAAATCTCTCGATTCCTAGCCTAACTAATTCCGAATGTCATATTTTATGCCAGAAATGTCATATTTCATGTCAGAAATGATCTTTTCCCAGCCTTGAATAGCCCTGACTAGAAGTAGTCTGGAAAAAACTAGCGCCAGACTACTTCTAATTAGACATTATTAACATAGTATATTTCTAGCACCTCGTTAGAAATAGCTTGACGCTGATTCGCGCCACTTCAAAACTAAATTTATTATATTAAATAGGGATACAACATGACAGTCAAGATAGGAGCTAGCTAGACATCAGGATCTAGCGTGGCACTTTCTACCAGGGTCTACTCTCATTTTTAAACAATTGTGTAATAAAAGACACATTTATTGTAGCACAAACCATAATTTTCAACCGAAAAATAAATTTCTGAGAAGTCTTTCGGAATCAACCTATTGCCGCTAAAAGAAGCTAAAAAAGCCTTTCTGATTCAAAAGGGTTTCCAATTAGGATGGTTTCGCTTTTTTCAGTAATCTTATTATGGACACTCAGGTAGATTTCAAATAACCAAAAGGTTCTCGCCACAAATGGAAGAAATTTGATTCTGATCGGAATGCGATTTCGGAAATCTTTTATATTGCAATAATCAAGATTTCGCAATTGTACGAGATTATAAGGAGAATAATCGAGTCGAGAATAAACTGTAGGTACATCTATCTTGTTACATTTCAATTTAACAGGAAGCCACATTGTGTGGTGTAGAAGCCGAAAAGTGAACCGTCGCGTAGGGGTGCGTAAAACAGTGCGGCCGGATTGCGTATAGAAGGAAGATGGAGTGGAGAGAAAAAGAAGGGAGAGTAAATGCACAGGGTTAGTTGCTGATCGATCGGCCGCGATAGCGTCATGTTACAAGAGCTGCTGGCGAAACTGGTCGTCGTGCGCGCGCGTCGTGTTTGTCGGGCGGACACGGTTCTGACCTATGGATGGAAAGATGGGTGTGTCCACGGCTGTTAAAATGGCGTTAAGCTCCGACCACCGGCTCGTTTATTCGACGGCGCGCAGCTGCAGCTCCGCCCGCCGTGTGCGCGAGCAGCGCTGCGATGCAACGCGATTCTGCATCGCGCAGCGACTCGCGACCGTCGGCTTATGCGTATGCACTTTTTCAAAAAAAGCAGTCTAATTACTCGGAGATATCATGTCGGATTACATAAAAATTGAACTGAAATTCTAATGCAATTGTTTATTGAAAACTGGATTTGTTCGATGTGAATAAAACCCGTTTTTCCGAATTATCTTAATTTTTAATGCATAATCGCGATGTTATATGTATATATTTTTTTGTAGGAATTTTGATATTCTTTCTCTTGTTTAGTACGCTTCTGTGATGCTATATCTGCTTACGTTTAGTACAATTTCTGTGATGCTATATCTGTGGAGAAAGTTACTGATGTAATAATTTCAGACGAACACATATACACATAATAGCCGTTGTTGGTAGAACTTTCTCGACTATTCGAGCTAGCGTGTTTGTTTCCACAACGGTTTATTTTCAATAATTATCGAGATTTACGTAATGATTCTCAAATTATGGCAACACTAAAGGCCGGAGCACAGACTTTTACATAAAGCATAACGCATAAGCATAAGGAAATTGATTGGTCTATATAT